ATACGTCTCCTTGTACAGTTTTAGGCATTCCAGGATCCACATGTGAGGCTTTTCTTGTACTCAGTCCAGGCGATGTGCAGGTTGGTGAGTCTTAGGCGACTGCTCTGTCTACCAGTAGCTGGCATTTTGCTCATCTGGTATTTTTGCCAATTCATTTTCCGTGAATTTCGCCATGTGCCTGTTCATCTTAGGTGCTATGATGCCTGACAGGAGCTTGCATATGGTACTGAGGCAGGTTATGGGCTGGTAGCTGGATGGGACCTGTATCTTCTGGGGATTCTTGGGGACCAGGACCGTCTGGCCTTCAGCTAGCCATTCTGGGTGTCTGTCGATTAGCAGTTGGTTAATTTGTGCTGCCAGATGTTCATGGAGTGCAGTCAGCTTCTTCAGCGAGTAGGAGTGAACCGTGTTAGGGCCTGGTGCTGTCCAACTGTCTGCTGTTGTGATGATTGTGATGTAATGGCTGCTCTTAGACCCACTAGGCACTAAGCATTGAAGTGTGCTGGTCATTAGCTGCTAGCTAACTGGGTAAGGGCGTCATGGGTCTGTCCACCGTTTTAGAGAACATATTTCGTTTTAAAGTAAGTAAGTAAGTAAAGTGAGTCACTGATGTGAAGGAAAACAGACAAACAGAGACACCACCTACAATCAGGGAGAGCGTGACAGAGCAGAGGGAAACGTAGCTGACACCAATCAGAAACTGAACATAATACACATGAAATAGAAGACTATCAGAATAAAACAGGAAGTACAAACACAGAGACCAAGACCAAGATGCATGGGCTTGACACAGGAGCTGGGGAGACCACAGACAGACATGGGTACATGACTGGGAAGGCTGAACGACACAGAGATGTGAGTGTGGAAGACTGAGGTCAAGAGACACCAAGTGGAACATAAACCAGGAACATGACAGCTTTTAATCTGTTAAATTAATTTTATTAAGTAAATAGGGTGTATATTTTATTACACTGCTTATTTATTAAGTCTTCAAGATAATTTAAGAATATTTCAATCATTTTCACAAAGATACTGCGAAATCCCTTATAGACAAAAACAAGTGAATGGTTTTAAATAGTTATTGATGGTGTAACAGCTGTGATTGGACAAGGGCAAGAAAACTTAGAAGGGATGTTAGCAGTTACATCAGCCACAAAGTAATTACATAATCGTGTATATAACTCCTTTATCCTTTCATCACTTACTCCATATACACCTTTATAAATATATGTGAAGTCTTTTCTGATATATATATATGTATATATTGTCTGAATAGTTTGCGCTCATGATTAAAAACAAGCAAACAAAAACACTTTTATACGTTATTCAAATTGCGCAGTATCCTAATCAACACTTCATTGATGAATCCAGACATTCAAACCCTACATTCGCAGATCTTATCACTATACTACTGTGATGGGATTATAAGATTACAAAAATACAATAAAGCCATAATAAATAGCACTGGCCAAGACCACCATGTCTTATGGAATTAATAAACACTTTAAATAGA